GGCGTCGTTGCCGCTTTTTGTGGCCTCCCATGCCGATTATTGTCTGTCCGCTGATCATGGGTGGTGTGCCTCCACTAGTGACGTCGTCTGCAGGCATTTCACAGCACCAGTGAAACGCACATCACGTCGCATGCTTTGGCTGTGGATATGGTGTCGTGCATGCAGCCGGCATTATTTTGCCCGACTCCTTTTCACTGCCTTGCGACAAATAGATGCGTCGCCGCCCGAGTCATTCACTGCAGCTCCGTGTGTTGTACTGCCAGCACAATACTCTCGTGTTGTCTGACGCCTGGCTGACAGTCAAGCACCACTGCGTTGGGGCATGCAGGGATGTGGACTGCCGCTCACGGTGTTGGGCACCGCTGTTTGGATGCGGTGGCCACACGAGCGGATGTATTGTGGCACAATGAAATGCGCGAAATATGCGGAATCACAGCGGCTGCAATAATATCAACGGTGTGGCACCACGGAATGTGAGAGGAGGTGATGCATGATGAATCACAGTGGGCGGCATGCGAGGGAAGTGCACCGCGACGGAGCGTCACCCCGCCCTCAGCCTGCAGGGGAATGTACGCCCACAAGAATATATGGTCGAGGCACCACCAAACACACATGCCCTTCTGTGCGCCAATAAATAGGAGCGAAGGTGCGTTCTGGTGCGTGGGAGTCCACTCACATATTCTCATTTCCACCGCAATAAACGGTGAGGAATCAGGTGCCACAGCAACGAAGGAGGAAATAAAAACATCTATTGCAGCACTTTTACCAGCGAAAAGCAGGAACAACACAAATTGAATTATTGGCTGCACCAACACAATAAAAATTCACAAGAGAAGGAAACAGTTGTGCACACTGCAGGAACCCCCAACACACGATGCAGGCATGAAGGTTTACCCTCCGCAAAAACAATAACAACATATGCAGACACCTTCCACCCTCCAAAAAGAAACACGAATAAATGGCTGCTTTATTCCATTCGTTGCGCTTGACTTTGCGTGTGCGGCTGCTGTGGTGGTGGCTGCGCTTCCCGTGGACCAACAATCCACGTGGTGTGCGGGGATCTCTCCTTTTCATGGTTTCTTTGCTGTTGTGTTGCTGTGTGCGCTGCACCTATTCTCGTGTGTGTGTGCGTGTCCTCCGTGAGGGGTGCAGACACGACGGACCGCTCTCGCCGTATGTACATGCGGTGGAGCCTTGTGTGCCGCTCCTGTTTGCTTCTCTTTCCTCCATCTGTGTGTGTTGGTGTTGTGGCAGGGCTGTGTGTGTGTGTGTCTGTTGCCGTGGATTGGAGTGTGTGTTGTGCGTGGTGTGCGGCGTACGGTGCATGCCTGGCTGCTGCCCTCTCCTCATGTGGTTTGCCCTCTGTGTGTGTCTGCCGCACCTCTCGTCTCCCCTGTTGCTCTCCATGTCCCTCACCGTGCAGATCAGCTCCACACCACCGAACGACCACACTCACGATGACGACGTGCCGTCTGCTGTGCGCCCTGTTGGTGCTTGCCCTGTGCTGCTGCCCGTCTGTGTGCGTGACAGGGACTGGTAAAGAACAAGGTGGGGTCAACGGTTCAACGGCTGCTCAGCCACCGGGAGCAAGTGTTCCAGGACCCGGTGGGACAGGGTCGCGAAGTACGTCCAGTACTGCACAGACGCAAAGTGTGAACCCCACATCACAAGCATCAAGTGCGGGAACCGGTGTACGAGGGAGTCCAGATACAGAAAGTCTGGAGTCTATTCCAAAAGAGGAACAGGCAGCAGGTGGGTCCGATGGGTCAGGGTCGTCAGGTGGGTCGGTTAACCCAACTGCAGCATCAAGCTCCGTGACCGGTACGGTACCGGCAAAAAGTCAGAAGGAACATGCGCCAACAACAACAACCACTACTACGACAAAAGCACCAACTACCACCACCACTACGACGACGGAGGCGCCAACCACAACGACCACCCGCGCACCGTCACGTCTTCGCGAAATCGACGGCAGCCTCAGCAGCTCTGCGTGGGTGTGTGCCCCGCTGCTGCTCGCCGTATCCGCGCTGGCGTACACCGCTCTGGGCTGAAGAATTGTGTGCGGGCTGTGCGTGCCAGCACTCAACCGCGGGGACTTGTGTGCGTCTGCTGTGGTCCGATGTACTAAACAGGATAAACTAATGATTGTGTTTTGCTTCACTTGCTTCCGCTGCCCTGCTGTGTGCTCCTTGCCGCTCCCCGCATCCGTCACGTTGAACGCACCCCAGACACACTCATATGCATGGCACGCACACAACTGTTTGCGTGGAATCGCATTTGAGGATGGGTGCGTGCGCGCTGGAGCCATACTGTGCAGCCCTTTGTTTTGTGTATGTTCACATTTCTTACTTCATTGCTGTTCGTTTACCTGTGTTTTGTTTCTAATTGTTTTGTGTGTTTTCTGCTTACTTGCTGCGGGGCGTTGTGTGTTTTTGCCCTTTCACTGATTCCAACTGCCTCATGGTGTGTGTGCGCTGCCGCTGCTGGGCTGCTGCCATTTGTGACTGTGCGGTGGCTGTGCGTGGTGTAGCGGCCGTGTCTCTCCTTTTGCTTCCGCTCTGCGTTGACGGGGAGTTAGTTTGTGCTTAAAGCTACACGCAAGTGACAGGAGTGATGGCGATGATGATGACTGGCCGTGTGCTGCTGGTGTGTGTCCTCTGCGTGCTGTGGTGCGGTGCCGGCGGCGGTGGCTGTGATGACACACCGCAGGCTTTACTTTCTGGCTCTGGTGGCGGCACGGTTGTTGGTACTGGTGTTGGCCAAAGTGGTGGAGCTGACAATGCTTTGTTTGCTTCTGAAACTAATGGGGAAAGCGAGGGGCATCGTTTGGAAGGGACGGATTTTGGGCAAATAAACTCATCCCCTCGCGGTGGAACTGTGGGGCTAGAAAACAAGTTGGCAGTGATACCTGCGGGATCTCCGGTAACACGCAATCAATTGTTGTCGAATGAAGCGCTGTCTTTGCAGTCACCACCATCACCAAAACCATCAGCACCAGAATTACAGGATTTACCAGAAGGCCCAGCAGTATCCGGTGGCAGTCAAGGTGGTGGAGCTGACAATGCTGTTGGTGGTGTTGTTGGCCCCAGTGGAAGTTCTTCTGGAAGTGGTGTTAAATCTATGGTATCTGCTTCTTTTTCCGCCGGTACGCTTTCACCCCCTAATCCCGTTGACGGTGATGTTTTGCAGGGCGGCAAGGGTACGACAGCCACCCTGAGCATGGATTCTTCAGAAGAAAGTTTTAAGTCACAATCAGCAGAGCCCCCAGCACCCGCACAACCCAACTTGGATAGACAAGAGGCGTCAACATCTAATGCAGAAAACCATTCCTCTATTAAACCACACACCGCAGGAAATCAAGTTGTTAATGGCGGTGCAACTGGAAAGGAGAACAAGCAGAGGGCCGCAGTGACGGGGGGACCTTCCAGCGTCACACAATCAACAACATTGCAACCAGCTCCACAAGAACAACCAAAAACCGAACTAATAATAGTGCCCGCAGGAAAAGAACGCACAACAGACCCACATAGTCGAGAAAAAGAAGAAAGAGACTCCAAGAAAGCACCACCACCACCACCGGCAAATTCAGCAGGAGGAACTCCAGCAGCAAAAGACTTACAAATTTCAACAGAGGAAATGCACCAAACGTCACCGTCAGAAACCCAAAAAGAGCTTTTGGGGCAAGAAACGCCCTCAAAGGATGACGCAGAAGATCAAAACACTGAGGGCACAGCAACATCGGATTCGGTGAAGGACGAAGCTGCCAGCAGCTTAGTGGAAACAACAGCTTCACCCATCTCTACAAGTGGCGGTGCTGATACAAAGAGTGTAGCGAGTAAGGATGCTGATAATGCTCAACAGCCCAATCATAAAGAAACACACAAAGACCCCGAACCTCAAAATACGAATCCTGCTTTTACAGCCACTGAGGCACTACCACAAACAGCAATACCACTCACCACCGCTCCAACAGATGATAAGACCACACCTGGCGACAGTGACGGCAGCACCGCGGTGTCCCACACCACCTCCCCTCTTTTGCTTCTTCTTGTTGTTGCGTGTGCGGCTGCTGCTGCGGTGGTGGCCGCGTGAGAGTGAGGGAGAGAGAGCCGTGCACCGCCCGCACACACACTCGTCCTTCTCACTCACTCTCTGTGTGTGTCCCCTTGCATGGACTCTCGCCCTCACCTCATCCCACGAAGCACATACATAATGTGCCCATTGTATATATTGCATGCACACCCATGCAGGCCCGTTGGTGCTCTCTTTTGCACGACACGCACCGCTGCCGTCCTGCCTGGCTGCATGGGCGGAGCACCGTAACTGTTTCTGTTGTGTTTCCGTTGCATTGAGTGGGCGACCTCTCTCTCTCTCTCTCCTTGTGTGTGTGTTTTGCTTTACGGGAGCAATGAGAGTGTGTGCGCTGGTCGTCCCACCTGTTGCTGCGCGTCCCCACTGCTGGGTGGACGCCCCCACGCTTCGGCTTTTTTTGTTGGTATTTTTTATCCTCTGCCTGTGTTGTGGTTGAGTGCACCCATCCTACTTTTTTTGATTGCTGGTTTGCTTTGACTGCGGACGCCTGATTCCTCTTTGTGTGTTCCCACATTGTTTTCTTTCTCCTTCTAAAAGTGTCAGCCACTCGTATCCTTGTAAAGCCACCACGTCCTTCTCTTTTCCACATACGCCATGCGTCAGTTGATCCACGGCACCCCACGGTCTGCAGCGCTGCTGAAGCTGCTTGTGATGATGCCTGCGACGTGAATTGCCAGCGAGTGCTTTGCTGTCACCCTGACGTATCCTTTGCTTCCTTGACGATGTAGGGCGTACCGACGGCGCGTGGGCGTCTGTGGCGCTGGTGGGGCACGTGCGTCTCAAACCGTATGATGCGTCGCAGGTGTGCAGCGTCGTTTCGAAGCACCAATGGGCGTTTCTACTCATCATGGCGTCCACAACGGACCCGGATGGCAGCAGGTGGCACTGCGATTCCTCCTGGTCTTGCACAGCGACTTCTTGGACGGCGCGCTTGATTGGCGGCACTTGGGGCTTTTGTGGGAGAAGGTGGGAGGCTGAGGGCATGAGGACTGAATTGTTTTGAGTGGCAGCGTTCCGTTGACTTGCGGCCGGTCGTTGCACTCTTTTGGGGTTTGGCGGCCCGTCTCTTTTGTTTACTTCCCACCGCAGCACGTGGACAACACTGGTCCGAGGAACACTTGTTTAGACGGGTGTGAACTGCTGCCGTGCGTGGTGCATGGACTATTTGATTGTGTGGGGAGGTGCATGGAGTGACGAATACTTCTGTTTGGCGTGTCGCGGTGTGTCGGAATGATGTTCGGAAAACATGTGAGGGTGTTGTTTGTAGTTTGTGTGTCTTCTCTGGTGGAGCCGACATGTGTGCGGGGATTGTGGCATTGCTGGCTGACGGTTCCACGTCACTTTTCAGCATTCCTGGATGTGCTGAGGAATGACGGCTGACGACCAGCGTGTTGGCACTGCCGGTGGGAATAAGTACACGAGGAATTGGCCATTTTCTCTTTCCCATGCTGGAGCCGATGGACTGGCACGAGGGCACCGGCTGCGGGCTGCCTGCCAGCACGTGTGAGCAGCGGATCCATGCACACACAGACGCTCATCACAAGAGCTTGTGTGATCACAGTGGCTTTTGTGGCGTGCTTTTTTGGGCGTCAGCCCGTCGGAGAATGTGTGAAGCAAACGGCTGACGGAACACGAGGAAAATAAGTGCGTGCACTGTGCCGTGTTTCAGCGTCGATGGCAGAGCGGCAGGAGGCCCGTGCTGGCAACTGAGATCTTTGCGTCGCGAGGGATGTCCGTGTTGATTTTGGATCGTCGAGGGTGAAGTGAATTTGCTGCTGCCCGTGTGTGTGGCCACTCCGGCAGAGGGCGAACACAAAAGGGAAGGATGCAGGCGCTGCGTGTGTGTGCAGGTGCCATGCAACAACGTCACAACAAACATGCTGCGACTCGGTGACCCTCACATCGCTGTGGTCCTCACGAACAGCTCAGGCACGGCCCGCATCGATGCACTTAGTGGACGGAGTGAGGCATCTTTTGAGGCGCAGCAGGGAGCAGGATGTGTTGACGCAGCCACGACGTGCATGGAGTGTCACGACGGCACAGCCGGCTGTGGCTGGTGGAATAATTACTTCTCGGAGGCAACAAAGAGAGAGAGAGAGAGAGAGAGAGAGCTGCTGCTGTTGGCGTCGTTGCTGCCTTTTGTGGCCTTCCATGCCGATTATTGTCTGTCCGCTGATCATGGGTGGTGTGCCTCCACTAGTGACGTCGTCTGCAGGCATTTCACAGCACCAATGAAACACACATCACGTCGCATGCTTTGGCTGTGGATATGGTGTCGTGCATGCAGCCGGCATTATTTTGCCCGACTCCTTTTCACTGCCTTGCGACAAATAGATGCGTCGCCGCCCGAGTCATTCGCTGCAGCTCCGTGTGTTGTACTGCCAGCACAATACTCTCGTGTTGTCTGACGCCTGGCTGACAGTCAAGCACCACTGCGTTGGGGCATGCAGGGATGTGGACTGCCGCTCACGGTGTTGGGCACCGCTGTTTGGATGCGGCGGCCACACGAGCGGATGTATTGTGGCAGAATGAAATGCGCGAAATAAGCGGAATCACAGCGGCTGCAATAATATCAACGGTGTGGCACCACGGAGTATTTGTGAGGGGGTGATGCATGATGAATCACAGTGGGCGGCATGCGAGGGAAGTGCACCGCGACGGAGCGTCACCCCGCCCTCAGCCTGCAGGGGAATGTACGCCCACAAGAATATATGGACGAGACACCACGAAACACACATGCCCTTCTGTGCACCAATAAATAGGAGCGAAGGTGCGTTCTGGTGCGTGGGAGTCCACTCACATATTCTCATTTCCACCGCAATAAACGGTGAGGAATCAGGTGCCACAGCAACGAAGGAGGAAATAAAAACATCTATTGCAGCACTTTTACCAGCGAAAAGCAGGAACAACACAAATTGAATTATTGGCTGCACCAACACAATAAAAATTCACAAGAGAAGGAAACAGTTGTGCACACTGCAGGAACCCCCAACACACGATGCAGGCATGAAGGTTTGCCCTCCGCAAAAACAATAACAACATATGCAGACACCTTCCACCCTCCAAAAAGAAACACAAATAAATGGTTGCTTTATTCCATTCCTTGCGCTTGACTTTGCGTGTGCGGCTGCTGTGGTGGTGGCTGCGCTTCCCGTGGACCAACAATTCACGTGGTGCGCGGTGATCTCTGCTTTTTCGATGGTTACTTTGCTGTTGTGTTGCTGTGGGCGCTGCACCTATTCTCGTGTGTGTGTGCGTGTCCTCCGTGAGGGGAGCAGACACGACGGACCGCTCTCGCCGTATGTGCATGCGGTGGAGCCTTGTGTGCCGCTCCTGTTTGCTTCTCACTCTTCCATCCGTGTGTTGGTGCTGCGGCAGGGCTGCGTGTGTGTTGTGCGTGGTGTGCGGCGTACGGTGCATGCCTGGCTGCTGCCCTCTCCTCATGTGGTATGCCCTCTGTGTGTGTCTGCCGCACCTCTCGTCTCCCCTGTTGCTCTCCATGTCCCTCACTGTGCAGATCAGCTCCACACCACCGAATGACCACACTCACGATGATGACGTGCCGTCTGCTGTGCGCCCTGTTGGTGCTTGCCCTGTGCTGCTGCCCGTCCGTGTGTGTGACAGGCACTGGTAAAGAACAAGATGGGGTCAACGGTTCAACGGCTGCTCAGCCACCGGGAGCAGGTGGTTTAGGGGCAAAAAATACGTCCGCGACGTCAAGTTCAAAAGCTCCGGCCGTTGCGTTACCGTCAAAGAGTCCGGGGACCGGTACGGTAGAAATTCCGGGGAACAATGCGGAACAGCCACATGGTATGTCTGGTTTGCAAGGGGCAGGAGATGCGGCGAACCTTAATGGACAGGAACCAATTACGGAGTCCAGTAGGTCAGACTCAGCAGAACCGACTGAAAAGCCACAGGAACGGGCACCAATTTCCGGGACCGGTGGGACAGAGCCGCTGAAACAGTCCAGTACTGGACAGACACAAAGTGGAAACCCCACATCACAAGCATCAAGTGCGGGAACCGGTGTGCCAGGGAGTCCAGATACACCAAGTCCGGGGCCTATTCCAAAAGAGGAACAGGGACCAAGTGGGTCCGATGGGTCAGGGTCGTCAGGTGGGTCGGTTAACCCAACTACATCGTCAAGTTCCGTGACCGCTTCTGTACCGGCACAAAGTCAGAAGGAACATGCGCCAACAACAACAACCACTACTACGACAAAAGCACCAACTACCACCACCACTACGACGACGGAGGCGCCAACCACAACGACCACCCGCGCACCGTCACGTCTTCGCGAAATCGACGGCAGCCTCAGCAGCTCTGCGTGGGTGTGTGCCCCGCTGCTGCTCGCCGTATCCGCGCTGGCGTACACCACTCTGGGCTGAAGAGGTGTATGCGGGCTGTGCGTGCCAGCACTCAACCGCGGGGACTTGTGTGCATCTACTGTGGTCCGATGTACTAAACAGGATAAACTAATGATTGTGTTTTGCTTCACTTGCTTCCGCTGCCCTGCTGTGTGCTCCTTGCCGCTCCCCGCATCCGTCACGTTGAACGCACCCCAGACACACTCATATGCATGGCACGCACACAACTGTTTGCGTGGAGTCGCATTTGAGGATGGGTGCGTGCGCGCTGGAGCCATACTGTGCAGTCCTTTGTTTTGTGTGTGTTCACATTTTTAACTTCATTGCTGTTTGTTTAGCTGCGTTTTGTTTCTAATTGTTTTGTGTGTTTTCTGTTTGCTTGCTGCGGGGCGTTGTGTGTTTTTGCCCTTTCACTGATTTCAACTGCCTCATGGTGTGTGTGCGCTGCCGCTGCTGGGCTGCTGCCATTTGTGACTGTGCGGTGGCTGTGCGTGGTGTAGCGGCCGTGTCTCTCCTTTTGCTTCCGCTCTGC